TCGCAATATGGAAATAACTTCAAGTGGTCAACATATGTTGGAAAGGGCAAGTCAACAACAATTTCAGCATTTTGTCTATTTGTCCAATACGCATCATGAATATTTCCAGAGGTCAAGTACCGGAGATAATCCGTCGGTGATCCGGTTGAAGATATTGTAACGTTACTCGATGTCCGGTATGTGGTCCAACTAATATGGCTGTTTCCAATCGGTTCCAGGGGTAGTTTTTCAACTTCGACAATACGCCGACTGGATGTAAATCCTCCATTATCAACAATAAGTTTCCGATAAACGTTTCCAGGATTCGAATTATCCTCGAGGTAAACTGTGCCTGATCCGCCATAATGTTGCTGGCCGTAGCCGCCATAAACCAAATACGAACCAGTGAAATGATTTTCTCCATTGTGATAGACAGCAATGCGACCACCAGCTCCTCCTCCACCATTATGAGCAGCACCTAAAAAATAAGAAATAAATAAAAAAGATGGCTGAAAATTGTTTGATTCTCATCAGTTTACCTGTTCGATACAATTTATAAAATAAATGCGAATGTCAGTGTGCCACACTTTTTCACCTCCTGTAGAACGTAGCTCAACATATATCAATTTGGAATCTGGCCGACTCCGTGAGCAAATTAAAACATTTCGGGCCCGCAATTCTGAAATTTGGGATTCCAAATTTTCCATTACCGTCATTGTTTTCGGTGATATTTTACGGGATTTTTTTGTGACTAATTTTTGTGCGATAGCAATTTTTTTATAACTTGGGAATAATAGAAATTGCGAAATCCAGCGAAAGTCACTTATGAAATAAAAATAATTGTACGGACCTACGTACATAAAATTGTCTTTAAATTAAATGGCGGCAGAAAAATTATCGTTGAACTTTTAAAAGGTAAGCTTAAATATTAATGCAATACTTAAATGCAGCAATCAATTTTGAGTTCTGTAGTTTATTGTTGCCTATGGCATCTATTCCTCACTACCTATTGTCATGAAGGTCTAATCCCCTGACATCTACAGGAGCTGCCTTAAATGCCGCTCAATAGGGTGTCTTTTAAGCTAGTATCTAATATATATGAAGGTCCGGAAAATATTCAACTATCGTGAATATCTCAAGAACAGGCAACGGCCTTAATATCTAAACTCGTATATACGATCCATCGCTAAAGATTCTGGAAAAATTTTCGGTTAATTGTACCGCTCCAAAACAAATATCATTAAGTTCTTACACTAGCCACACATATACCACACTCTCAGGTCGGTTGATTTGTCAAAATCTAGTGCAATTTGCGCACTTATAAATTAACATTAAAATAAGAAAAATATGAACAAAGACAAATTTGAATAGATAGCACTAAAATATTATATAGGACTCAATACAAGGAAAGACTCAAAATACTGGAGGCTGTTGTAATACATGAGTAGCAACCAGCATTAAATCTTTATGCATAGGGGATCTTATATTAAACTGTGTATAGAATACACATAGAAATTCCAATTTTAACTGACGTTACCTTTAGCGACTTGAAATTGGTTCCAGCAATCGTAGAAACACCGGAGTTGACCATAGTTACATGAACATGCACAAAAACTTGCGTATTACTCTTATTGGCCAGCGCATTTGAGAAATCTTAAAATGTGGCCGCTCTTATTAAGTGTTATCGAATACACTGTCCGATAAACGTAATACACACCGTTTAAAGTAAAAATAAAAATGAGGCATTTATTTCAGATACGAGCATCTATTATAACAATATTTGAAGTTTTATATATATATATATTCATGAATTATTCATACAAAAACAAATGCAAAGGTTAATGATTTAATTGGCGAGAAATCCATTGTCGCAAGCAATTCAAATAATATACAAAAACCTCCGAACCTGTTATGAATGAAAAGATCCTTGTTTCTATAAATTTCTGCTGCATTAGTTCTTATTTTTACTACAAGCTTTCGTCTGTTCCTACAGACATCTTCAGGTATGGAATAGATGTTGTTCTTGTTTTTTCTCTCAGTAATAAGAGGACAGCGAAAATATATGTATTGTTGTATCCGAAAAATGCTATTGGAAATGAGTTATTGTTTTTGGAGCGTGCAGTAGCAACGTTGAGTTTGATTTTAAATTTTTACAGTTGTGCGTTTTTGTACAAATATGGTGATAAGCGAATTTTTTTTTACTGGTAAATTTTCTGTCAAAGTGGCATGAACTATATTGTTCAATAATTACAGTAATGTCGCACTTATTATCCAAAAGTCGCACTTGGATCAGTTATTTTAATTTCAATAAACGTGCAATCAATTTACAAATTCATGAATTATTCATACAAAAACAAATGCAAAGGTTAATGATTTAATTGGCGAGAAATCCATCGTCGCAAACAATTCAAATAATATACAAAAACCTCCGAACCTGTTATGAATGAAAAGATCCTTGTTTCTATAAATTTCTGCTGCATTAGTTCTTATTTTTTACTATCTTTCGTCTGTTCCTACAGACATCTTCAGGTATAGAATAGATGTTGTTCTTGTTTTTTCTCTCAGTAATAAGTAAAAAAATTCGCTAATTCAAATGCTTTTATCACCTCTTCTTTACCGATGGTTTTATTGTGTTTAAAAAGCTCAAAATTCTTAAATAAATGATAATCAATAGAAGATTCAGAATTCGGAATATGCAGCTTTTGGACAGTTGATTGAGTGGTATGTAGCCACGCGTTGTCCAGTACCAACATTGTGCCATCCTTATTCACAAGTCTAGGATGTTTCCTTTTCAATATTTCGTGCATATACACAATTTCTCCACAAAAGGAGATTGCTGTTATTTTTTCCCTTGAGGCAAGCATGAATAATGAATAACCCCTTTGAAAGACCACCATACAGTAACTAACTTTTTAGCGTACAATAGAGGTTTTGGGTCTTGTTTTGGTGATTCACTTGCTGCTAACCAGTGGCCAACTCTCTTAACGTTGTTAAAGAGTATCGATTTCTCATCGCATGTAAACGATTCAATGCAGAAATAGTTTTTTTTTCCCGCAGTTTGTATTAATAGAGTAAGATTACTCGACATTGTTTCATTGTAATCATTTTCATTGGACTTATGAGTAACAATATATTGAAAGAAAAATTATCTGGAAAGAAAAAGAGTCAGGAATAAATGAAGATTTTTTTATATACTAAGGAGGTGACTTCGTTAGACGATCGGAATAAAAATCAAAGAATGCGTCATTTCCTGTGTGACAAACTTTATACACACACATACATACATTATATATATATATATATATTAAGAAATGGACAAGGTCCGACAATTTATTTATTAAAGACATTTTTATGTTTAACGTTGTTATTTTATAGATACAAGTATTTAAGCAAATACTCTGTTTATGATAAACAGTATTAAATAACAAGGTCCGACAATTTATTTATTAAAGACATGTCTTTAATAAATAAATTGTCGGACCTTGTCCATTTCTTAATATATGACGTCATTTGTTTACATTTGATACGCCAGAGCAGTTATGAATGTACGAGATTCATGGAAGATTGAAGTTTATAAGCAGTAAATTCGACCTTGTCTACCGAAAGGTTCTTTGTGGCCGAGACGGTTAAGGCACGTCAGCGTAAATGACGGTTCCGTATAGGATGCAGGTTCGAACCCTGTCAAAGAACGAATATTTTCTATGAAAATTTCTCGGACATTCAGGCCGGTAAATGTTATTTAATACTGTTTATCATAAACAGAGCATTTGCTTAAATACTTGTATCTATAAAATAACAACGTTAAACATAAAAATGTCTTTAATAAAATATATATATATGTGTGCGTCACAGGAGGAGAGTGCTGAAAACATTTCTCCATTGGACCAAGAGGCCATTCTAAACACCTCTGTGTGTGCATGAGTGTGGTCATTTGTTTAAATTTTGGGAACTATGTTGGGATGAGAATGTCCAGTACTTCATCCGTTGTGTATATGTCTATAAGTATTGAAAAACTACTACAATCTCCTGGCACTCTACATAATTGATTTCAGTAATTGAGATCTGATAGATTATTCAGCGTTGGTCAAATGAAGATTTTTTTTTAATTTTTTTTATTAACCAACCTGTTGCCCTCAGATTTTGGTGCTTTGTCGGTGACTAATTGCGCTTAACACTCATCGTTTCAACCGGCCTTGGAATGCACGTTTCACCTGTGCTCAAACTAAATAATATTCGCGAGAACAACTTGCAAAACATTTCGATGATTTAGAAGCACCGTTTATTAAGCCTCACCCAAAATCTGATGCAGGTACGTTAGTAGAAAGTGTCAGCCTTCAAAACTTTCCTATGACATTGCACTATAACGAAACACGATTAGATAGCATGAAGATTAATGGTAAACTGACTCATGTGGCTGGGGGCCCAATGAGTTTTTAATCAGCGTATGCATTTCCGTTGAATGGTATAATCAAAGGAGAGAGAGAGAGAGTGTGTGTGTGTGTGTGAACTTTCCGATACCAGTTCGTATATACGAGATACCGAAATGAGTTGCCCTTCAGTTTAAACTATGCTTTCAGATCTTAGAAAAATAAAAACGAGGAAAAGAACGTCTGATATTTTGGTGCTAATCATTCTGACTGTCTTGTCGGCTGAACGATCGATTTCTGTAGAAACTAAACTCATCGCAGTCTTTCTATTTCACCAATGAATCGATTACGATGGCAGCAAAGCGGTAATGATTGAAAGGAATCATATTTAGAAAAAAAATGTTTCTGGAGTCTTCCGATTGACGTCAATCTGATTGAATTAGTCCAACTGATGCAAACACAATATTTTCTTTCATTCACTTGTGTTAGCCAAAGCAATGGCGATATTTAACAAGTTCAGCGTCGTTGAGCGCACGGACAAATATGGCAAAATGCTGCCCTTATCTTTCAAATGAGGTTGGCCTTACTGGAAGCCTCTTTGCATTGAAACAGCATCCCATTTGTTTTTAAAAGTTGGGTCCTAATACAGATCACTGGCGCCAATAGAAAATGCGGTAAGTCGTGGCTTCAGGAAAAGTTCTTGACCAAACCAACTATCCGAAATATGAGCAAATTAAGAAACAGCAGACTTTTTAGGGCACCAACAGAAAACTCTTGGACAAAACCTCGTATTTCAGCAAACAAGCGGGACCAATGATTATATAAGTAATGATATTGTTGAAAATTTCCTATATAAGGGTAAAGACATATCAGTAGACATAGAAATCAACACTGAATGACGAATGTTAGTTTCATGCCTTCAGCACTCATCTGTTATATATATATATATATATATATATATATATATATATATATGTGTGTGTGTGTGTGTGTGTGTGTGTGTGTGCGTAGAATATTTTCGTTCACATATGTTTGGTTAAACAATTTAGACGTATAATGTCTATTTTAGATTTAATCCTTTCAAGTCCACGAAAGCCTTACAACAACAACATCTGCAACCTCTGTCAAAAAGAAGAAGAATTAAGAATTATGACATTTCCGGATCTAAAGAACTTTTTAAACAAAAACCCGAAGTCTTGAGTCCTTGCTTACATATTAGGAAATTTCTCTTAAGCGCATATGAGGCTGGATAAAAAAAAAGGTTCAAAATTTCAGTTAAACCCCACTGATACATTTATAATACCCTTGCTTCTCTCTGCTCCCCTTCTTTTTCTCTTTCCTTCTTCATATTTTCCACCTCACTTTCTATTACACCTAACGTCGTGTGTATTTTTAAAAAAAATAATATAGGGGTCATTAGTTTCTTTTTAATAAAGCGTCAAGAGGTCATTTGATAATAATCGCCTGAGGATACCGTAAGGCTGAAACCCAGGTAGCAGATTCAACTGATCTCCTGATTTTGAAATAATATATATATATATATATATATATATATATATATATTTGATCAGCAATCTAATCTCTTTTATACAAATTTAATTCAAAACGACCGCGATTATGTTTTTTTTTACTTATTTTCTTCTGTTCGTATACTTTCTTTTTCTTCTATGGGCATAAATTATGTAAACATGATCCGAATGTTCTGCATGTCCGAGCGCTTTCGGCTATTCTTTTAGCCATTATCAAGGATGATTTTTATTTTTAACTGAATGAATGTATTTTTTATATATGTATCTAGAGTTATCGGAATTTGTTTTTAATTTTCCAAACACAGCCAGCCATTAATTATTTTTAACTTTACAACGGGTAACATTTAAGCAAACCTACAGAGTACAATTTTTTCTTCCGAGTCTAACTCCCTAACAATGTAATATTAAATATAAATATGGGAGGTTTATATGGAAATTTGAGGGGCCTGGTCGTTTAATGTTTACCTTGGCGCCATTGGTAACCAGTATCTGTACCTATCCTAAATTTATAATACTATATTATTATGAAAAGTTCATGTGTAAAGATTTACGGTAAATATTTACTCAAATGTCAGATACCGTAATATTAATAGTAAAAAGGGTGTCTTAAACGTCATTAAATACGGTGCAACGTCAAGAGAGAGAGTTAAGAATATTCTTTTGCAGTAACTTGCTAAATAGGAGAAGGGTTCTTATAAAAGTTACAGACAATATAACAAAATTAGGTTGGATTTTAATAATTACCAAATGAAATTTTTAAATTAAATTACAACTTACGCCAAAATATTTATGTCGTTTATATGTTATATTTAGTTCAATCATTTGAGTTGAAAGTATGGTGTATTTCTACCTGTAACCTAATATACCCTGTAGCATATTCCTTGAATATGAAATGAATACCAGCATGTAACACACCTGTATTTCCGACGAGCTAGTTGATCAGAGAAGTGGGATTTTGATATTTACAATAGGAATAAATGGCGTTATTTAACAGGTTTAATTGTATCTGTCTATATTTCTGAGATGAGTGATTATTTACACTATTTATATTCTGTCTATATTTCTGAGATATTATGTACATTATTTACATTAAGACTATTGTCCTCATCGGTCCTCATCGTTGTCGCCATATTTATCACAACATTTCGGCCGTTGAACGCTCCGGCCTTCTTCAGGTGGTTGGAATTTCGAACTGAACCCTTTATTTCGCTCAACAGTCTACCCCAGTGAGCGAAATAAAGGGTTCAGTTCGAAATGCCAACCACCTGAAGAAGGCCGGAGCGTACAGCGGCCGAAACGTTGTGATAAATATGGCGACAAAGATTAGGACAATAGTTCGAATAATGTAAATAATGTACTATTTATATTATTCAGACAATTATCCTCATCTTTGTTGCCATATTTATTACTGTTGTCGTAAACCCTCTTACAGTGTAATGAACTCTTCTTTCTCTCATAAATACAAACTGCGAGAGTCGGATACCGGGTGAAGAGTGGAGTGGAGTAGCAGACGCAGTGCTAATCTACTTATGACTAACACTATTGCTTTGTATATATCTTCAATATATTTTTTCAACCTACCTTCGTCTTCCGTGTCTTTCTTTCTGGCCCCTAAACAGGCCGCAACAATTACGTTTCGGCTGTTGTACGCTCCGGCCTTCTTCAGGTGTTTGGAATGTCGAAGTGAACCCTTTATTTCGCTCACTGGTGTAAAATGTTCTCGTTTCATGTGCCATGTTTAATGGATGTCAGTTATCAGTTATCTCCTGTTAATTCCTCTTAAGGCAGTGGAGAACTTGGAGAGAGGAATTAACAGGAGATAACTGACATCCATTAAACATGGCACGTGGGACTAGAACAGTGTATCCCAGTGAGCGAAATAAAGGGTTCCAACCACCTGAAGAAGGCCGGAGCGTAAAAAGGCCGAAACGTTGTAATAAATATGGCGACAAAGATGAGGACAATTGTCCGAATAATTTAAATAGGTTTAATTGTTCAAAGAAAGTTTTTTTTTCAGAGTAGAAATGAGAAGAAAAGCAGTCCTGGTGAAAGTAGTTGTTGTTTAGATCATAAATTCTTACACCGACCTGAATCTTGTACGATAAAATTACGGCCAGGTTCCTAGAGAATTTAACATTTCTTAAAAATACAGCTAATACAATATTTAAAAATAGCAACGCTAAAAGTGAAAACATGATTGACGTTGGTTAGGCTGTACATCTAGACACACTGGACGACAGACATTTAAATTTCAAAGTTAAACGTCCCTGTATCTTCAACGTTTCTCTGAATGTTTCATTTTAACTGTTACGTATTTATAATTTCGTTCCGTCTTTACATAGATATAATTCCACCAATAAGAAACATTATTTAATCGGAAGTCATTTTCGTTTGCGAATGAAACTCCTCACATACTTTTTTATGACATTCACAACAAACGATGTACTACTTTGCTGGCTTAACACCAGAAAGAGTACGTTATTCATATCTTCCGTATGTTTAAATATGAATAGATTTTTTTTTTCAGCAAAAGAACAATGTTAGCTCAGAAATTTCCGATATCATTTTTAAGAACAAGTAAAATATACAACATACCTCTGCCTCCCGTCGCCTCAATAGATCCAGAGCCATCAAGATGTTTAACTTTGAGGTATATACTTCCTCCAGCACCTCCACCACCAGTCTGACCATGACCTCCTTCCCCATTGGCATGGAGTCGACCTTCTACTCGAAGAGTTTCCTGGATGTTCATGTGAATTACACCTGTGAGAATAAATAAATAAAATAACCGTGTTAGCAAACCAGGTTAGCAAAACTGTTGCCATAATGTAGTGAATTTGATCATCACGATGTAGCCTACACATATGGCTTCTGCCAGACTTTCTTTTTATGTTCCATGTCCTTTCAGGACGTAGGCGATCATGGCTCTCCACCTCTTCCTCTATCTTTTGCAGCTCTCAACATTTTCCTTACCTCTGCTACCTCCCCCAGACCACGATCTGTCATCCACTTGCTTAAGGCCGCTAGGTATGTTATGCATTGTTTTCCCTTGTCTCTCTTTCCTTCTATTCAACCTGTGAGTATCAGATTCTCCCGGCCCTCCTTCCACATTATGTGTCCCAGAAACTTCAGCTGCCCCTTCCTGATATTACTTATAAGCCTCCTCCTTTTTTGCAACCTCTCTAAGACCTCATCGTTGCTCACACTCTTGGTCTATGATATCCTCAGCACCCTTCTGTAGAACCACATCTCCGTCGCCTCGAATCTCTTCAGCTCTGAGGAAATCGTTCAACATTTGCTGCCGTAAAGAAGGATAGCTGCTCAGTATTCTTTTCTTTGTTATCAAAGAAATCCCGTCTTTCAATGCTCTGCCCAGCTTTTGGGATGCGTCCTTGGCCATCCCAATACGTCAACGGATCTCAGTGTTGCACTTACCGTCCTCTGTCAAAATGCTTCCTAGATATTCCGCATCTGCTTGATTCTAGTGTTCCTGACCTGCAAATCGCATTTTGGGCTCACCCTAGACTAATGTTAATCTTTGTGCTAAGTCTTTTCAGGACACGGGCAATGATGACTCTTAATAACTACATCTTTTATGGAAGGATAAACTACCTTTCATCGGCACTTATCGAACTCGTCTTCGGCTACACTAAAGTCGAGTTCAGTATCAGAATATTTAGGTGTTCATAGCCGTTACTGAAATACTTGCAATTTCCTTTCAGCTTCAGTTGTTGTTTTCGAGCCGAAGGGAAAATCCTGGATTTAAAGCAGGAATAATTACATGGAGGAAAAGAGAATCACAATATTTGTATATACAATAATATATTTGTAAAGTGAGTGGCTATATTTAAATGTAAATAAATGGCAGAACTGCCTAACAAACAAAAAGTTTGCAATACACAATAACAATAAAAGGAAAAGAAAAGAGTAGGGCAAAAACAATATAAAGCAAGTAAACAATATATGCAAGACAAATTAACAATAATAAGGCAAAGCAAGAGTAATATGGGAAAAGGTTCACAAACTAAAAATTGATGTAGACACACAAAAGCAAATTCAACGCAAGACAGAACGGGACTGCATCAGATGAAACCGAGAACTGGCCTATTTTATTGGCTATGAAGAAATTCCAGCATGTATTTGTGTACTTCTGCTTATAAATTGGGTAAGGGAAAGTATTTTGGGATAATTCCAATAAGTATTTTTACATCATGCGGTTTTTGTAACTTCCCTGGGAATATGTGGCACATGTAAGATTGAATGTTGATGGATGAGTTCTTGTGGTGAATGTGTGAATTGTAATGAATGAATTAGTCGTGAATCTGATTAGCCAGGTCTAAGATACTTACTGTTGACCAGCCTTACGCCACTTTCCCCTCGGCCTTGTGCCACAATTATGTATTCAAATGAATAAATAAATACACATTCCAATAACGATTTTTCATATCAAGGGAATTTTGTAGGTCCCCTGTGAAAATTTGTGGTATTGTGGTAGATGTAGGATTGAATGGTGATGGGCCAGTTCTTGCGGTGAACGTGCAAACTGTAATGGATGAATTGGCCGTGAATCTAATTAGATAGGTCTAGGATATATACTGTTGAGCAGACCTACCCCCGACCTTTAGCTTTGTGTCACAATTGTGTAATTTTCACACAATGAATCAACATGCCAATAAAGATATTTTTCCAAAAATAGCATAGCTAAGGAATAAATGATCATTGACTCCTTTAATTTTTTTCAGTCCCTAACGTTTCCGTTTTCATTCACCCCCATTCTGAAAGTGGCCGAAAGCATAGCTCTTTGAAGCGATGCGATTATCTCCTGTTTGTTTTTATTTTGGACTCTATACGTTCCCACCATACTTTTTTTTTGACCAGTTAACTTGTTTTCTTTCGAATTTAGCCGTGTGAAGGGTCCCACACTAAAATTTTCAGTGTTTAATTTTTCATCATGTAATGGTGTTATTTTTTTTATTATTTTGTAGATAAATATCATTTATATATTTTTGCGATTCCTTGCGAATCCTCGTCGTCACTTTTGTGATGTTGAACTGCTTCGCTTGTCACTTTTGCTATGTCAAGCGAAAGCTCGTTATCACTTCCCAAAATGCTTGTTATATTTGAGACTTCATAAACACTGGTACTAGTAGTAATGCCTTCTAATAATATCCGCACCAGTAATACTTGTTCAAGTAGTAATCGCCAAATAGTATAATGATGAGAAGAGAATCGTAATCCGTAGAGTAGATAGAGTGAATGTATAGCAATAGTGGATAGACAAGAAGAGTGAACAGTGATCCGTATAGTGATAGAGGAGAAATAGTGATCCTTACGCTACTTCGTATTTACTTAATTCCTTTATAATCTACTTAATCGCCCGCGTTACTCACTGGCGATCTAGTTTCAAACTACGGTGTCGGCAGTGACACTTACTCTTATACAACAATATTTTTTTTTATCTACCTCTACACATGCTTGTAAATATGGGAAATAGTTTACGATCTCATGGATAATATACGTTGCTATGGTGACTGTGGTATTGATAATATTTTTTTGTATAAATCAGGTTATGTGTTGGAAGGATTTATTATAATGTATGGTTGCGTCAGGGAATGATTAGTTAATGCAAAGTTAACTAGTAATGACCAACAATAATTATATATAATAATTATATAAAAATGAAACTCAGTTGTACCCCATTTTTATATCCATTTCGCTCCTCGGGATAAATTCCCTGGTGCTTGTTAATTCTAAAATATTTGATACCCCCACCCCGGAAAATAGAATTTAAGAATATATATATATATATATATATATTTGTGTGTATTCAGGCAGCATATTTTTATTCATACATGTTTCATAAAATAACAGATTTGAAATTTAAAATCATCACTGTCTTGTCCGTATATTGCTTAATATATTGTAAAGTAATTGACATCTTTGTTAATGGCTTATGTAAGCCGAAAGCTTAGATTGGATTAAAAAATATTGATCAATATTGGGATTTTCTTTCTTCGTTTAATGTTATTGCTTATCAGACGTATATCATATATATATATATATATATATATATATATATATATATATATATATATATGTGTGTGTGTGTGTGGCAACACAATATCCCAAATCCTGGGTGTAAAACTAAACCACAGAAGAAAACAATGTTTGCAATCATTGGACCATGGGCTAAATTAAGCACTGTCAATAAATCCCACCATCCAATGCCAAAGAATCCGGGAGTTGATAGAGCTCTAAATCAGGAACACTAAGCATCGTTTTTGATTATCATTCAGTTTGGACGGAATACGCTGGCGATGAGAGAAATTACATTCACTCAACGATTGGCAACCTTGGATAAAACTTTATTTCCAAAAAGATTTCTCATTGCTTCGAGTTAAACAAATAGAATTAAAACAGAATAAAACAAAAACAAAGATAATCTTGTTGATATTGGAAAACTTATTTCTTGCGGTTTTAAAGTTTCTATGTAAATAATTATTCTCTTAATGCCCGGAGCAGAAAAAAAGACTTAATAAAATTTAACGTAATTTAGACTGCTGATCCTTGAGTTTAAAATGGCAGGAACTGAAATGCGCATCTTGGAATCCGCCCTAAGCTCATATTGCCCAATTTAAAAGGCTTCCTAAACAGGAAATAAATGATCTGTATACAGCGTGCAGCAGGTAATTGAGAACAAAATACAAACAAGGATAGAGCTGCTAGAACAAACAATTGTAAATATGTTAAACTTAGAACAACAAGAGGTTATTCAATAAAAAAAAAAAAAAACATCTTCAGCTTGGAGGACAGCCAAGATCCTGCCTGGGAAGCGGCTACATTCTTGGTTCAGGCAGTTCTTTGGTTTGCGTATAACGACCTTCAACAACTGATTTTTGTATTTTGGGATCACTGCTTATTTTCCCCCCTTACCACCGATCAACCGGGCGAGAATAAAATTAAAATCAGATGTTTCTGTTTTTATCCGTTAGTCGTTTCCATTCAGAGTACATTCGGCATTCATTAATCGAAAAGTTAGTGATAAAATTTATAAAAGAATTCACTGAAAGTGATTCACTGGAAAATAGGATTTAAGAAAATGCTGTTATTACTCAACTATTTTTTATGAGCCATGTCCTTTCAGGATTTAGGCGACCATGCCCATTCGCCTCCCTCTATCCCTTATAGCTCTCAACAAGTTCCTTCCTTCCTCCCACAGACCACCTTCTGTCATCCACTTGCTTAAGTCCGTCAGGTATGCCACGCGTTTTTTTCCTAGTCTCTCTTTCCCTCTATTCGACCCGTGAGTATCAGATTCTCCAGGCCCTTCTTCCTCATTATGTGGCCCAGAAACTTCAGCCTCTTCCTGATAAGTATAAGCCTCCTCTTTATTTGCTTCCCCTCTAAGCCCTCATCCTTGCTCACACGCTCGGTCCATGATATCCATAGCATCCTTCTGTAGAACCAAATCTCCGTCGCCTCGAGTCTCGTCTTCATCTTTGAGGAAATCGTCTAGCATTTGCTGGCATAAACAAGGACAGATGTCGCTAAACAGCTCAGTATTCTTTTTTTGTTAGCAAGGAAATTCCAAACTTTTTGTTTAATGTAGTGTGAAAAATCGACATCTTAATTATATAATTATTTTCCTTTCCAGTGACATATACTGGACATTTTAGCTGTTGCCATTTGAGATCTTCGGGTGACATTGTTTCTGTTATTTAATAAATCCCTTTGTTTAAAATTCTGTAACTTCAGTCTATCAGTTCTAATAAAATATCATTTTTAAGACCAAGACGATTCATTCGCTTGAAGCACTTTTTATTCATTTGCAATGTTTTAAGAGTTCCTCTGGAGACCCATATGCGTAGCTATATGGACGAAGAAAGGAATACGAAAAGAGCTTCATTTTATACGTCTTTATTACTCTGCTGTAATATCTATCTAAGTTCTCGGCATGAGAATTAACTCTCGTTGTTTGTCTTGGAGCTCCATTCAAATCCCGAGACACTGTGCATGTTCTATGAAGGGTTACGTCCCTTGTGATTGTCTCGTTAATATGGAAAAATGGTTGTATAATGTGTCAAAAGTTGTAAAAATATTTCAGTCATCCACCCATGGGTAATATATGAGGCAAAGAGTTTTACACGTATTTCTACCATCTCATTTCAGGCGCTGACCACCGTATCTATCTAGCTAAGTGTAGTGATATGATCCTCGTTGCTCATTATCTCGCAGGACCACCAAAGACTTGAACTGTGGATCACTATTTACTTTAGGAGAGTCCCAGAACAGTCACCTGTTTTCCACACTGTTCAAATAGCCGCTTTCAAGAACCTGGCCTTGAATCCGTTATGATTGGTGGCAAGTTTCAAAGAATAAAACTTATTTTCATTTGTGTTACATTGGAAACTGCTACGTTAATGCTCTCCATCTGTCTGGTTTGGTTTGGTTTGGTTTGGTTTGGTTACGGCATGTCAACCTGAATGGGTTATTTAATACCAACAAGATTTTTATTGCAGGTAATATTTTTATTCACAAATGTATTTCTGGTAATATTTTTTTTTACAAAGTATTTCTGGTATTAAAACCTATTTTTACACTTCCAAAACATCCTAATGAGAGGCCTAGCTGTCGGGTGTAGTTTATCATCTTACCCAGGACGTGGCTGTAGTTTATCATCATACCCAGGATGAGTAGTGATTAGGGAAGCATCCTCCTGTGAGTTGTTTCCACAAAGCAGTTGTTCATGGGAAGAAGCTGCTCAAGTGGAACTTACATCTAACCAATAGAATACAAAGGGAATGAGGGTGGTTTGCTACAATGGGCGTGGCATGGCGAGTCTTAGAAATGAAGGTGAGAACTGGTGGAAATAAAACAGTAGTCTAACATGAGTTTCGTAGCCATTTAAGATATCCTTTCTAATAAAATGATTTGTTTAAGCACTGTTTTCTCTTTTTACAATAATATTCACTCTGTACAAGGCCTGATGGCTACTTGAGGTAAAGGGCTACAGAATAAGAGACACAGTTTGTGCAGATATATGGGGAAGATAATGATTAACCTTAGATTTGAATAGGTTAAGATTGTAGTGACCTGGGTTTGGTTTGTTTTATGGCATATCAAAACCTCAATGGGTTATTTCTGTTAATATCTTTTTTTTTAATCCATTTCTGATAATATCTTTTCATTTTTCAAAAATGCATTGCTGGTAATATCTTTCTTTGCAAAGTATTTCTATTAATAAAACCCACTTTTAGACTTTCATATTTAACCCCCAGATTGGGGGGTTACCTATTTGCCCATAGTTGGGACCTTAACAGGTGCTACCACCCTGGGTAAAGCTGAACCTGGGAACACCAGCAATTAAGAGATGGTTCAACGCTCTTGAAAACCTCCTGATCCCCAAAATTCAGAGTCTGAAATAATCGACGAGCCCTATATATGAAAAGAGAACGAATAATAAACAAAATGGAACAAATAGAGTCGTACCTGCTCCATTGCCACCGCGGTCTCCAGATTTACCATTTCCGCCGCCACTGCCGTATTTCTGAGGAATATAGACGGAATCGTACGCCATTGCAGAAAGATATCCAGCTCTTGATCGTCCACCTCTGCCTCCATGGGCACCACCGGATCCTCCGTTATGTACTCCAATATGGTTGGCTCCACGGGAAATACCTTCACCACCAAGGAAGCCTGTATAATCTGCATGGATATTACCTGGTAAAAATTTAAAAAAAATAAATAAATTAGACTCATTTAAAATTAAAAACCGTGAATATGACAATAATTCCAATCACCTGAAGAAGCTCAGAGCGTACAACGGCTGAAACATTGTGACTATGACAATAAAGATGAAGACAACAGTCCAAACAATATAAATAGTGAAAATATTTACAATAACTCATGTCAGAAATATGCATATGTTAGTGTGTGATATATATATATATAGTGTGTGAGATTATATATATATATATATATATATATATGTTAGTGTGTGATATTATATATATATGTTAGTGTGTGAGATTATATATATGTCAGTATGTGATATATATATATATGTCAGTATGTGATATATATATATATGTGTTAGTGTGTGAGATTATATATATGTCAGTATGTGATATATATATATATGTTAGTGTGTGAGATTATATATGTGTCAGTATGTGATATATATATATATGTTAGTGTGTGATATATATATATATGTTAGTGTGTGATATATATATGTCAGTATGTGATATATATATATATATATATATATGTCAGTGTGTGATATATATATATATATGTTAGTGTGTGATATATATATATATGCCAGTATGTGATATATATATATATATATGTCAGTATGTGATATATATATATATATGTCAGTATGTGATATATATATATATATATATATATATGTTAGTGTGTGATATATATATATATATATATATATATATATATATTAGTGTGTGGTACATATATATTTGTGTATTCGACGTATGAAAGTCAAGCAGCTCTGTTCCTAGGAACCGACAGCCCAGACACCAGCACATTTGTTTTGATTATAGTGTCGAAGGCTTTGTGCAGAACCAACCACTTTTGAAGAGCTGAAAATAGACCTGGTGCACTATGTGCCACAAGGTCCCTAAACGATCCTCCCCTGGTTTTGATCTCATATTATATATATATATATATATATAATATCTTAAAATTCCTGTGAAAGCTAGATAATATTTACATAAAACTTACACCATTTACCGGTTCCATAACAGGGCAGGGTAGTAAAGGGAGGCGCTAAGGAAGGAATAATTGTAACAAGGTAGAATATATGGTTGGCAACGAAAAGCAAAATCAAAACAAAAATTTCGATATCTAGGAAAATGCGACACTGAAATAAGGCGCGTTGAGATGTCTTCCAAAAGACAAGCAAAGTATTAAGAAACAGGAAATTTCATTGTAAAACAAAAGAAAAAAACTTATTTAATATAGCGGTTAATGCCAAACATCATCATCAGAGTTGATGAAACTTCAGAAACACAAATATAGTTTTACAGAAATGCTGAAAATGCCATGAACTAAACATATAGATAACGACCAAGTTTTAGAGAAAATAGAAACAAAACAGACACTTATACTTATCAGAAATTGACAATTTTCAGGGTACATAATGAGGAAAGAGGGCTTGGAAAATTTTACACTCACAGGACATATTGATGGTTAGAGGGATAAAAGAATGTAATGATTTTCATACCTAATGAATTTGTATAAATGGTTGGTAGGACAGGAATAAAAGAGAGTTACTAAAAAAGACAGGAAATAGTGAATAGCTATGATCGCACACGTCCTGAAGGGACACGGTACATAGAAGATCGGTTCCATCTCGTTAATAAGAGCAAAAAAATTAAAATGCATTTACATAAAATTATAAAATATATTTTAATATGACGGGGGGGAAGTATTCAAAACCCTACATAATGAAGGCTCACACTTTATTTTGACAGTTTTATTTTACGGCTTATCAACCCTTTGTTGGTTATTTAAAGTCGAAACATTTTGTATTTTAAGAATAATTTTTTGCGAGTTAATAATGTCTTAACTATTTTGTGAGAATAAATGTTTTTCTAGATATAAGTTGAACTATTTAATCCATAGATGAGAGGCAATTGATTTATACGCTTCCCAAGGTTATTTGCGCGTAGGTGAATTTAGCGAATGCGACTGCTATTTGAACTCAACTCTATGATTACTTATTCAAATTTTGTGTATTTGCCTTTGTTTTTAACGAAAGCTTTCAGTTGCTTCGTTTATGTCGGTGTTAGCTTCGAACTTTTTCCTGCTGGTATTTTGAACGACATTTCATAGCAGATTTTCAGCTCGTTAAAATTACTAGACTGATGCGAAACGGATACACATTTTAAGTCTGCTTGTGGTCAGGAAATACACTGATCAATTTCAATACATATTTTCACACCATTGTTTGGGTGTAGTATATGTTTCAGACTAAGAGACTACGAAAAAAAAAAAAAAAAAACATCAACTGCATGTCGTTTTAAAAACTCAACTGATCTTACATCAGTCGGTTTTTATTTGTTAAATGAAGCGCAATTGGGTTTTGCTCAATATGTATCGAGACAAATATAATTCTCATTTTTATTCCTTGAATTATGAAAAGCCTTTCTGAAGTATGTAATATAAAAAAGTCTCATGACATTATATTGACGACACTTTTCTGATTGAATTTCTGAGATGAGGACTTATTTTCACTGCTCGGTTACTACTCTCCCCTTTTCCATCGAGTCAAGTAAACTCAGGGATTGAGCGCGCGCACACACACACACACACACACATATATATATATATACACACACACACAAACTGACGATTGCATTTAAGCATGAAAGACTGTCGCCGCTGTTAACTTTAATTTAAAAAGATTTTATTTTTTATATTATTTATTTCATTATATTTTAATTTTTAAATATATAATGTATTTTTATCTTATATTTTCATTTCTAAATATTTTTATACTTTAATAAAACCTATTGATTTTATATTAAATATAACTTATTTTTAGATGCAAATTTTACGAAATTTTAATAAAAATTATTTAAATATAACTTATTTAAATATATCTTGTTTTTAAATATAACTTGTCTTTTGAATAGTACTTTTAAGCATAAACTTGAAATTTTTAAACATAACTTTCTATAATTTACGGTTTTTCTAAAAAACCCTTTTTAATTCTCTTAGTTTACAATTAACATTTCTTTCTTCATATAACCACAATTTAATGTCATAAGGTTAATATCCGGGTTTGATTTTATAAAATCTCTTCCCTTTAAGACTGATACCTTTCCACCCTTCGTCGGTTGAAATAAGCTTATTCCCCATATGAAGTGACTTTGGATTTCATTTGTGTATTTATTGTGCTATTTTGCTCTGTAATAACTACATTGAGGTCTTTTGTGGATCAATATTTTATATTACTAGGATTCAGTTGGAATATCTACAGATTTATTGTCTTTACTAATATATATATATATATATATATATATATATATATATATATATATATATATATATATATAAATAAATAAAGGTATGTTATATATATGGATGCTCAATATCAGTGTTAAATATATGGCCTGAAGATTGCGTTTAAGCATGATACAAACTGTTGCCTTTGGGTGTTGACTGCAATGTTCGTACACACATTTGCCTAAAGTATGCATCAAAATCTGAGGTAAATTCAGAAGATTTCATATATATATATATATATATATATATCAAGAGGCAAAAAAGTAGTGAAAGGATAAAACGCATCACAAGTAAACTTTTTCCATTTTGTCTTAACACATACGTTTGTGTGTATGTATGTATAAAAGTGGACATTAAGGTCAACAGAGAGCAGCGATATATATATTATATATCTCCGTTTCTATATTTATATTTTAATGAAAGCAAAATAGTAAGGTCATAATTAAAGCAACAAATTTTGCATCACTTAATCAAAGAAAATCCTAAGATCAGTTTCTTAGTCAGAAGTTGAAATGACGAAATTTCATTCCTTGTGAAATCAAACAATTCCTTCGGATATATCTTTACGAAAAAGAATGCTGTTTTCTGTCAATACATAGCAACTTTCCTCACTTTCCTACGCACACAATTCCAATATATCTGATCACTGAGTAGAGCATACTCCAAATAATTTGGTTCAAAGTTTGCTGCTTCGTCTGGATTAGTGTAAGCTAATACCATTATCAGGCTGTATTGGCTGGTTGAAAATAGCCGCCAATGTGGCACCACCTCAGTATACAGAGATTAAATGGCGGTGCTAAGTGTTAACCAGAGTGCCTTTGGCTCAATTCAGATTTACAGGTCACTTTGTGTCTATTCGAGGCCGTGTCTGTGACTGAAAACTTAGAGATTGTATTCACGGCCAAATAAAATCGACTAAAAACAAGTGGCAGATGTGGGGTAGGTCGGATTTAAAAGCAGGGATAAAGTCTGAGTGATCATCGACACAAAAAGGAAAAGTTAGTAGAAAGACTTGAATTCCTTATATATGCTTACGATTGAGGTCTTAATTCAGGTGTTTTGCGTGACACTATATGCAAGCTATAAATAGGGAATTTGATTCATTTATAGAATACCTCAGAAATATGACCTGGTACAGGAATTAAAATAATTCTTTATTTTTTTTTTTTTTTTACAATAAGTCAAACCCTCAACAAGACCCTGGAGCCACTCAAGATAGAGTGTTACGTTAAGAGGTAGTTTATATGGATGGGAGGGGAAGATTATGCTTAACTATAGTCTTGAACAGGTTACGATTGTATTGATCTGGGAAACATCCTCCTGAGAATGTGTTCCACAGTCCAGTGGGTCGCGGGGAGAAGCCGTTTGAATTGAACTTCTCGCCGATGGAATACGGAGAAAATTTAGGAATTCCGAACACAAAATATACCTCCTCGAGAAACTTCAAGTTCTTTTTAATAGTTCCCCGCAACTTCCCCTTATTTTTTGTACATTGCCATTCTTCTTTAGGAAAGCCTGAAATCGTTTCCTGTTGCCTTCTACATGATTTGGAATTCAGATTTTTCCTTCTGGAAAATGAAGTAAAAGAAACTAAACTTTTATTGCCAGTGCGAAACTGATTATATAGGTAGAAGCTCCCACCTACTACAGAAGAAAACTACTCAACAAATACCATATATATATAT